AGCGGGCCCGATTGCCGGTCAATCTTCGCGATGGTGCAGTGCACCCCGGACCTGTCCGCGGAGGATTGCGGCCGCTGCTTGGTTGAGGCTGCAGGGGCCTTATCAGATTGCTGTCGGGGTAGTGTCGGGGCTAGGGTGAACTTGCCCAGCTGCAATATCCGTTACGAGATTTCGCCTTTCTATAACGAGTCTCGGCTGGAGGAGCTGGCGGGCGGGCACCACACGGACGAGCCGGGTCAACCGACCCGTGATCCACCGTTACCGCCAAAACCAGGTTCAAATGTTTTTTCAATTTTGATTTAGTTGATAGCTTATGGTATATGAGTGAAAAAAACTAGCTTATATGTTAAAAGTGTTTCGTAAAATTGGTTGATAAGTTAGATAAAATAAAAATTCAAACTGGCTTATTTGAAATGCTATCAATGAAGCGATAAGCTCGAGCTTTTTAAAATTAGAGCTCGTCCTACCAAACTAAGTTTATTTGAATACAAGAAGCTTATAAGCTAATCAAATAAGCTATAAACTAGTTTATATGCTTACCAGACACAACCTTATCGTATCAGAGTTAGGATTTATATAGAATCAATCTGACCCAGTACTCATATTATGCAGGAGTTCAAAAGGGCAACAATATAACCCGAGTCGTCGTCATTACTGTAATTTCAGTTGTTGCTTGTGCGATGTTCTTTGTTTTCGTATGCCTCGTGTTAAGAAAGAAAATGAGACGCAAGCCAGAGGAAAATCATGAGAGTAAGTGTTTCTTTCATTTTTCTCAAAAACAAAAATCATTACTGATTTGGCATGCATGTAGAATTCTTTTAAAAACAAAAATAATGTTAATTTCTTCATCAAGTATATATTCAACTAAAATCTTTTCTTCTCAATGTTTGAAGCTGCTGCTAACGAGGTGAGCTCGGACGAATCTGTTGTATATGCATTGAGCACAATCAGAGATGCTACGAAGGATTTTTCGGATGATTACAAGATGGGACAAGGTGGATTTGGACCTGTTTACAAGGTAATACAATTGTTGTCATATAATTTTGACTGAAACTTGAATTATCAAAATGAAAACTAATAAGTAAACTTGGTATGATATAATAATAGGGAATACTTCCAAGTGGTGAAGAAGTAGCAGTCAAAAGATTGTCTCAATATTCTAGACAAGGTGATTTGGAGTTCAAGAATGAGGTCTTGTTACTGGCCAAACTTCAACACAGGAATCTAGTTAGACTTTTGGGTTTCTGTCTAGAAGGAAAGGAGAAGCTCCTCGTTTACGAATTCATGCAAAATGCGAGCCTCGACCACTTTATATTCGGTAATATGTACGATTCCTTATATTCTTTACAACATATAATAACCTCGATTATAGTTTGTGGGAACCTTTTTAACTTTGGTTGATCTGTAGATCCCATCAAACGTTCGTACTTAGATTGGGAAAAACGCTTCAAGATCATAATCGGTGTAGCCAGGGGAATATTGTACTTGCACGAAGATTCTCAACTAAAGATCATTCACCGTGATTTGAAACCTAGCAATGTGCTTCTAGATGGTTCTATGAATGCTAAAATCGCAGATTTCGGCACGGCAAGGCTGTTTGCTCAAGATGAGACACATGGGAGTACAAGTAGGATTGCTGGAACCCTGTAAGTTTATAAAAATATATATTTTTCGCCTTAACTTTTCTATTGTTGTTTCCATAAAAGCCGCATATATAATAATTTTCGTCGAACATGCATTTTTTACAGAGGGTACATGGCACCAGAGTACGCGGTGCATGGAAAATTTTCGATCAAATCCGATGTTTATAGCTTTGGAGTGCTACTCTTGGAAATCATTAGCGGCCAAAAGAATAATCGCGTTCGGGAAGGGGAGAATGTAGAGGACTTGTTAAGCTTTGTAAGTGCAGACGCTTAAAACAATCGATATTTAATAATTCTAAGGCTATGTTTGGTTAATTTAGCCGATAAGCTAGCTTGTAGCTTTGAAATGAATTTCGAGCGTATAGCTGATAGTTTACAACTTATGGTTGAAAAGCTAGCTTATATGACCAAAGTGTTTGGTAAAATTGGTTGATAAGTTAGCTGAAATAAAAATTTCGATAAACTTATTTGAAAAGCTACCCAAAGAAACTTAATAGAAAAACTCGTCTTACCAAACCAAACTTATTTGAATACAAAAAATTTATAAGTTAATCAAATAAGTTATAAGCTAGCTTAAATGCTTAACAGACACAACCTAACTATTTAACGAGATTGATTATCGGATTTATTGACAGGTTTGGAGACATTGGCGAGAAGGCACGGCTGAACAAGTGTTGGATCCGTGTTTGAGGTCAAGTTCGGGTTTTTTCATAAACGATGTAGTGAGATTCATTCACATTGCTTTGTTGTGTGTTCAGGAAAAAGCAACCGATAGGCCAACAATGGCTTCGGTTATCGTAATGCTTAGTAGCTCGTCTTTAAAACTGGCGACACCCATCGAGCCTGCGTCTTTTATGCCTGCTGATTATGGTTCAGAGACTTCACTTCTTTAGGAGCATATATAATTTCGAAGTGTGAGTTAGAATTAACATTCATAGATGAATGTTTAAGTAGCTGCTGAATATGACAATTTTGGTCGATAAATGTTGGGATCAAATCAAGTTGACTTCTACGCACTTTGGTTT